TATGAGACTTGGCTCATGTTGTCAGTACATTATGTATGAGACTTGGCTCACGTGTCAGTACATTATGTATGAGATTGGCTCATGTTGTCAGTACATTATTTATGAGACTTGGCTCATGTTGTCAGTACATTATGTATGAGACTAAGACTCATGTTGTCAGTACATTATGTATGAGACTTGGCTCATGTTGCCAGTACATTATGTTTGAGACTTGGCTCATGTTGTCAATACATTATGTATGAGATTGGCTCATGTTGTCAGTACATTATGTATGAGACTAAGACTCATGTTATCAGTACATTATGTATGAGACTTGGCTCATGTTGCCAGTACATTATGTTTGAGACTTGGCTCATGTTGTCAATACATTATGTATGAGATTGGCTCATGTTGTCAGTACATTATGTATGAGACTAAGACTCATGTTATCAGTACATTATGTATGAGACTAAGACTCATGTTGTCAGTACATTATGTATGAAACTTGGCTCATGTTGTCAGTACATTATGTATGAGATTGGCTCATGTTGTCAGTACATTATGTTCATGACTAAGACTCACCCTGAATGTACATGGACACCACAGTATCAAACATTCCATCTCTTGTTGTTACTCTGTTTAAAACTTGACACAGCACCTGTCAAAGAGGATGGAATACAAGTGTAACAGGAGAGGAAAAATGCACGGGGTTCGAACACAGGACCCTCCTATTCTAGATGGACGCTCTACCAATTGAGCTACCTGGTCGCTGACGGTCGACCCAGTCCAGTTCCGCTACACAAGCATACATTTTAACATCCTTATTATACGATGAATATGTCATTAATCTATGATTAACTATCAAAATGATAGGTGATGTTTCATGATGTAATATTACTTAACGATTATACAAATCCAAAGGGAACTCTATCACAACATAATCAAGCATCACCAAATAAGTTTTTAGGTTGATTTGGTCAACTAGTATGAAGATTATGTCATGAACCTTTCAGATGTACGTTGATATGGACAGGATAAACAGGTTCATTTTGTACTACATTCACTATCACTATTCAGAAATGTGATAAACATGATGGAGTTTTTTTTATATTTCATTATCTTAAAATAACATTTCAGTGCATTAGAGGCACACTTCTAATGTACCAGTAGGGACCTCTTGTGCCACATGATGGTTCTGTTGGGCTTATCCTTTCCCTGAGCCCACAAGCATTAAGAAAATGATATGTTAAATACCAGAAATCTATTCTGAATGAAACTCTGGGGAATTCTTTGAAAACGATGTGCAGCATGGAAACAAGGATGACTACATATATATCTATATAGAACTATTTTCAGCTCTATGTTGAATTTTCTCTTGATCTAGGCTAGAAAGTGGAAAAGATAAAACAGAACTTACCACTTTACAGTAAACATACCTGAAACACACGCCCTAGTAGGAGGTCTGAGGAGGATTCTAAAGTATTGAGGAAAATCTCTGGGGAAACATTGACCACCATCTCCAGGACCCGCAGTAGATACACCGCTATCTCAAAGCATGTGGCACAAATCTTTAGCTGTCGACTCTCCAGGATCCTAAAGTCTGTCCGTGCTACTCTCTGCTGTATCTATTGAGATGGAATGGAGATAAAGACACCTGTATGTCTGGTAGTTTGTAAATTTGTTAACAGAACCTCTGGTAACTAGCATCACTTTTAGCTGGAAGTCTTGATCTAACAAGTATACATCATGTATATCATAGTTTAATATCATCTTTCCTTTAAGTAATATAAATTATCATGTTTACCCGGAATCTTATTATTCTTCATGGTCTCGTTCATATGGAAACAACAAAACTGAATTTAATTTCTTGCTTTAAAAGTAAAATTTAAGAATATCTGTTCAGATTAAGTTATCATTTACTGCCCCATGCAACTTAAATATATTAAAAACTTTTTAATCTAGTTGTTTTTCCTGGAAACGTTTTGCTTTGTAAAATCCAGTTAAAAAAGTGTCTGCTCCTAATTTACTAAGAGGACACAGTAGGTAAAGAAAGATCAATATTTCCCCTCCACCCTGGACTCTGCTCACCTCCTGCATCAGCCCAATAAACTCCGAGAAGGACCAGTTGAGCTGGTTGAGTAGTGTATCCACAAAGCGAATGGCCGCCTCCTTGTCTCTTAGCAACACAGTGCGGAAAAGATCCTGAAAAACCTTTGACGGGCACGGCTCTGTAGAGGATGATCAAAGATACATGGCATTTTATAGTTTCATAGTTAGACAAAATCAAGAAAATTAAATAGATGTAAGTAATATAAACTGTCTAAAGACTAAATCAAGAAAACTGAAGTACCAGTGAGAATGATGTGGATCCTTGCTTAAGCCAAATACAAATATAGCTGTGTTTCCCGTTTCCCTCCCGACCGACCCTATTTTTTCATGCCGACCCTATTACATTTGATTGGTTTTTCACAGTCACTGTTATGCTTTTATGAGCCGTTTAATTGTTCAAAGCGTACATATAATTTGCTATACATTTCATTCGACTTTGGTCGTGGTCAGTGTGAGCGTTTTATATGAAGAAAGTAGCTAAGTAGCTGTAGACAATTGTGCTTATGATGTAGGTTGTGATCTCTAGATTAGTGTGCTTATGATGTAGGTTGTGATCTTTAGATTAGTGTGCTTATGATGTAGGTTGTGATCTTTAGATTAGTGTGCTTATGATATAGGTTGGGATCTCTAGATTAGTGTGACTGTCTGTAGTCTAAGTGAGGGAGTCCAGTCTGTGATGCCAGTGTAAGGTTGGGAGTAGAAGGAGGGAAAGAGGGTTGGGTTGGGGAGTTGGGTTAAGGAGTCTTGAGGAAAGAAGGTTGACATGTATATTTTCTCCATTTCCAAATCTGGAAATAATTAATAAAAACATATGGACTAGTGTATGGTGATTCTTATATTTATGTCTAAAGATCTGACAGAAATTTATACTTATATTCTTTTCAAAATTTCTTATAATAAAAGTTGGCATTCAAAATAGATTACCGGTATGCCAACAAAACGGCCTGATTACAATGGTATTAATACTATTATTTGATGTTAGAAAAAATAGAATACCATAGCTACACAAAATAACACAAATTGAAAACACCAATAACCTTGAAATTACTTTGGTTATTCCATAAACATTAAGGTGGGTCAAATGATAATTTACTTCAATGTGTTGTATGGGCCTGCTCAACACAAAAACTATTGCATGGATTTTTTTTAATGTGTTTTTATTTTACATGAATAAAAAATTGTATGTTTGGTGCCATTCATACTTTATTAAAACAATAACATATTTTTAACATTCACAGAGATAATCAGGAGATTTTCTTCACCAGAAAAATAAATGTAATAAAAAAATAAAATAAAATGTTTTTCCTACCTACCTACCATATAACTTTTGGAGCCGAAACAGGAAACACACCTATATTTTTATTTGGCCTTATTTATTTATTACTAATATACTACTGATTTTAGAAACATAAAAGCTTAAAAATTCAACTGTGTCATAAATATTTGGTAAAATTCAATTAATCAATAAATATTTCAATCAATAACTTTATTGCAGTATTGCTTTTATTGTCAAACTTAAAATCTAACTAACACCTAAAATTCTTTCTACAGAATTATCTTAAACATTGATATCAAAAATCATAAGTGCATAGTATTCAATTTTAGCCTTTGGCTGAGGTCGATACCTGGATTTATCAACTCGAGAAAAGATATATTGACCGAGGACGCAGTCCGAGGTCAATATATCTTTTCTCGGGTTGATAAATCCAGGTATTGATCTAAGTTAAAGGCTACAATTGTTTTATTATTTTACAAAACAGTAACGAAAGCAATCTGAAAAAAAACCACTACAAAAAAGCTTCGGAAGTGGGACGGTGCATTGTTTGGAGACACGTCATAATTCTATTTTTAAAAACATCCAGTCCTTCAACAATAATCATGCGCTCCAAGTCAATATCGTTTTTTATCGGTGGACATGTGATGCATTCCTGGCCAACCACTTGTCGGGAATAATATGAAAAAATAATAAATTGTCTTATAAATAGTATTTTTGTATAACAACGGCAGTGTTTCTGTTTTTCTGTGACCTGAAGTATCGATTATAATGACTTACTCTGTAGACTGGCAAACCCGAACTCTGTCGGCTGAACTCTGGACGGTACAAGGTGTGGTAGGTGGGTATACCGGAAACCAAACCCACAGCCCTGTAAAATAGAACTCCTAACTTCAATATCCACCACAAACCATTTAAGCAATGAATGTTTTAGCAAATGTTGTTATGATCCTATAACACACATTGCTATTGATGACAAACCTAATAAAGCCTGGTAGGGCTTTATGTAAGTTTGTCAGCAATAGAAATGTTTCTTATAGGACCGTAAAAATATTTTAGAGATTGATGACGTTACATCTAGTTTCTTAACAACATTTGCCTTCGCAATGCATTACAATGGAAGGATGCAGGGCAAATGTAAATATTTCAATTTGACAAAATAATAATTATGTAGCTAACTAATTAAATCTGCAAATTAAAAGTTTTCGTGACTTTTTCCCCAGGTGATCTGTTTATAAACAAACCTCTTAGAATTGTTTATCAGGTATATATAACTGTCATAGTCTATAGTTAATGCAATCTAGTGAACAACTCTTACTTTCTCAATAAATGTTCTAAGACTATGTAGCATCTGCTGTGTATTATTTCATTATTTCTGTCCTCTGTATCAGATGCTGCAACCTACTGCCTGTCGCTATAAATTCCACATTTATACTGGGAATCAAAACCTAATTGTCTGCATGGAAATCCAGTGGCTTAAATATCAGGAAAGAATTAAGACTTTTGTCCAGTTTTACTAGGAGCTAATTAAATACCAATTTATCTTATATAAATTCCAAGGGATTCCTACCTTCCAGATTCTAACCAGGATCCAGTTTGTTTGGGCCCAGGATCTGTTCTCATACGGCATAATCAAGGATTTTATCATACTCTCTTTGCTGCAAAGTAAACAACAGTTGATGTGATATAGAGACAATGGATGTTACAGCCAATATTCTGGTTATAGTGTATCTACAGGAGTTCACATTGTCTGGACCTCATTATATTAACTTTTTAATTGATAAAAACAAAGTGAGAGGGAACTCATCAACCTAACCCCCGTCTCCACACACACACACAGACTTTTCGACGATGAGGATAACTTGTTATTGATTGTGCATGCATAAATTTTCATGTAACCTTGGCCATTTCCTCATAGATTGGTGTGTGGTACACAACATCTTGTCTAGTCTATTAATGCAGGCAATGCTGCATCATACAATGTTAAATGATTATACAATTAGTGTGAATAAACCTTGAAATTATCTAACTTTTAACTATAGATGGCTGGTACACAATGTTAAATGCTTATTGTCAAATGCCAAATAATTCCTCAACTAGCCTCATTCCCCGTTTCTTTATAAAATAAGTTGTGGATATAACTATTCTGTCTTTTCGTATTGCAGAGTTATCTGCTCTTGTGAGCAGGTATTGACTGTTACGTCATTGGTTTGTGAGAGTAACGTCATCAATTTTTGAGAAAACGACGTAATTTTCTCACACAAACCAATGACGTAACAATCAATACCTGCTCACAAGAGAAGATAACTCTGCAATACGCAAAGACGGAATACATGTCTTTGAGTAGTGTATATTGACCTGTTTTAACTCCTGAGGTAGTTCTTATTAATTTTTTCATTGAAAAATTGCTTAAGTTTTGTTGGATATATTACAAGCTCATAACAAATAAAATAGATATGAAGAACAAACCTGGCATCAGGTAGATCCTCTAGGATCTTGAGGGACTGAGGGTAACAGATGAAACAGGCCAGGGCCTGAACAACGTTATCTCTCACATCTACAGCAGATAATAGACAGGAAATGTACAGACTTCAAAACGGTCAGAGAAACAAAGTCAGTAATTTATTATAGACTTAATTATATTTAATTAGTGTGAAATATAAAGGCACTTTTACATCTTACAACAAAGATCAAAAGTCCACATTTTGGTGGTTTATATAGAATGCTATTGATAACTTTGTCCTCAACAACTTTTGGTTGTTGATTCTATGACAGTGTGACCCTGAAATACTTTACTAACCTGTGTTGACAATTCTAGAATCTGCGAAGTGTCTGGTAAGGAACATAGCATATTTGCTTGTGAGCTCTGAGTGATCTGTAAAACAAGACCAGTGCATTTAATATATATCCAAATGAAAACGTTGTATCAGAACGTTTGTATTCAGCAGTCTACACATAGGAAACACTCCCTCTCCCTACATACACATTTGTGGTTGTTTGTATTCAGCAGTCTACACATAGGAAACACCCCCTCTCCCTACATACACACTTGTGGTTGTTTGTATTCAGCAGTCTACACATAGGAAACACCCCCTCTCCCTACATACACACTTGTGGTTGTTTGTATTCAGCAGTCTACACATAGGAAACACCCCCTCTCCCTACATACACACTTGTGGTTGTTTGTATTCAGCAGTCTACACATAGGAAACACCCCCTCTCCCTACATACACACTTGTGGTTGTTTGTATTCAGCAGTCTACACATAGGAAACACCCCCTCTCCCTACATACACACTTGTGGTTGTTTGTATTCAGCAGTCTACACATAGGAAACACCCCCTCTCCCTACATACACACTTGTGGTTGTTTGTATTCAGCAGTCTACACATAGGAAACACCCCCTCTCCCTACATACACACTTGTGGTTGTTTGTATTCAGCAGTCTACACATAGGAAACACCCCCTCTCCCTACATACACACTTGTGGTTGTTTGTATTCAGCAGTCTACACATAGGAAACACCCCCTCTCCCTACATACACACTTGTGGTTGTTTGTATTCAGCAGTCTACACATAGGAAACACCCCCTCTCCCTACATACACACTTGTGGTTGTTTGTATTCAGCAGTCTACACATAGGAAACACCCCCTCTCCCTACATACACACTTGTGGTTGTTTGTATTCAGCAGTCTACACATAGGAAACACCCCCTCTCCCTACATACACACTTGTGGTTGTTTGTATTCAGCAGTCTACACATAGGAAACACCCCCTCTCCCTACATACACACTTGTGGTTGTTTGTATTCAGCAGTCTACACATAGGAAACACCCCCTCTCCCTACATACACACTTGTGGTTGTTTGTATTCAGCAGTCTACACATAGGAAACACCCCCTCTCCCTACATACACACTTGTGGTTGTTTGTATTCAGCAGTCTACACATAGGAAACACCCCCTCTCCCTACATACACACTTGTGGTTGTTTGTATTCAGCAGTCTACACATAGGAAACACCCCCTCTCCCTACATACACACTTGTGGTTGTTTGTATTCAGCAGTCTACACATAGGAAACACCCCCTCTCCCTACATACACACTTGTGGTTGTTTGTATTCAGCAGTCTACACATAGGAAACACCCCCTCTCCCTACATACACACTTGTGGTTGTTTGTATTCAGCAGTCTACACATAGGAAACACCCCCTCTCCCTACATACACACTTGTGGTTGTTTGTATTCAGCAGTCTACACATAGGAAACACCCCCTCTCCCTACATACACACTTGTGGTTGTTTGTATTCAGCAGTCTACACATAGGAAACACCCCCTCTCCCTACATACACACTTGTGGTTGTTTGTATTCAGCAGTCTACACATAGGAAACACCCCCTCTCCCTACATACACACTTGTGGTTGTTTGTATTCAGCAGTCTACACATAGGAAACACCCCCTCTCCCTACATACACACTTGTGGTTGTTTGTATTCAGCAGTCTACACATAGGAAACACCCCCTCTCCCTACATACACACTTGTGGTTGTTTGTATTCAGCAGTCTACACATAGGAAACACCCCCTCTCCCTACATACACACTTGTGGTTGTTTGTATTCAGCAGTCTACACATAGGAAACACCCCCTCTCCCTACATACACACTTGTGGTTGTTTGTATTCAGCAGTCTACACATAGGAAACACCCCCTCTCCCTACATACACACTTGTGGTTGTTTGTATTCAGCAGTCTACACATAGGAAACACCCCCTCTCCCTACATACACACTTGTGGTTGTTTGTATTCAGCAGTCTACACATAGGAAACACCCCCTCTCCCTACATACACACTTGTGGTTGTTTGTATTCAGCAGTCTACACATAGGAAACACCCCCTCTCCCTACATACACACTTGTGGTTGTTTGTATTCAGCAGTCTACACATAGGAAACACCCCCTCTCCCTACATACACACTTGTGGTTGTTTGTATTCAGCAGTCTACACATAGGAAACACCCCCTCTCCCTACATACACACTTGTGGTTGTTTGTATTCAGCAGTCTACACATAGGAAACACCCCCTCTCCCTACATACACACTTGTGGTTGTTTGTATTCAGCAGTCTACACATAGGAAACACCCCCTCTCCCTACATACACACTTGTGGTTGTTTGTATTCAGCAGTCTACACATAGGAAACACCCCCTCTCCCTACATACACACTTGTGGTTGTTTGTATTCAGCAGTCTAAACATAGGAAACACCCCCCTCTCCCTACATACATACTTGTGGTTGTTTGTATTCAGCAGTCTACACATAGGAAACACCCCCTCTCCCTACATACACACTTGTGGTTGTTTGTATTCAGCAGTCTACACATAGGAAACACCCCCTCTCCCTTCATACACACTTGTGGTTGTGGTGACTTCATAGTACATTTGGGCCTGTATTAATGAAATCGTTCTCATGCTCAGACATGGATTCTGTGCTCAAACCAACTTTCTTGTAACTTGTTTAAATCATGTCAAACGACCAAAAAGTCAAATGAAAATATTGAAAAAAGTTTTCGGGTTTAAATTTCTTCACATTTTTTCCAAATCATTAACAAAGTCAGATATTTTAATACATTTATAACGAGAACAAAAAATAATAGTTGAGCACGAAATCTGTGCTTGAGCATGAGAACACTGATGAATATGAGCCCAGACCTTTCAAAGGGTGTGCGATTACCTTTCAAAGGTGTGCGATTCCCTATTAGGAGTATGAGCCCAGACCTTTAAAAGGTGTGCGATTCCCTATTATGAGTATGATCCCAAATGTGTGCGATTCCCTATTAGGAGTATAAGCCCAAAGGGGTGCGATTCCCTATTATGAGTATGAGCCCAAATGTGTGCGATTCCCTATTAGGAGTATAAGCCCAAAGGGGTGCGATTCCCTATTAGGAGTATGAGCCCAAAGGTGTGCGATTCCCTATTATGAGTATGAGCCCAAATGTGTGCGATTCCCTATTAGGAGTATGAGCCCAAAGGTGTGCGATTCCCTATTAGGAGTATGAGCCCAAAGGTGTGCGATTCCCTATTAGGAGTATGAGCCCAAAGGCAGATTTTGACAATTCTACTATCCCATCAGTATTTTCAAAGTAAATATTGAAAATATTCATTAGTCCTGACATACACCCTACCAGACCTAGGCATATGGCTTGTGGAATTGTGCACCCCTACCCTTTAGCCACAAAAGCAATTGTCACAGAAATGTCAAGACTCAAAACACTGTACTGTTCAGAGTTTTCAAAAATTAATTCTTTTTTCATTTTGTCACATGCATGGACTACATTATGGAAATTTCCAATAAATTCTACACCATTTTATATGCACTATAATGACAATATCAGTTTCTACACAAAAATGTCGCAGCATCAAAATGATTGTAAGTGAAAGCTACTTTGCTTACTCCGTAACAAATCAAAAGGACTCGTCGGGTGGAAGTAGTTCTTTAGACAGTTGTAGATGTTGATGGCTGTCTCTATATAGAACTCCGGTGTGTACTGAAATAGGAGGTGGAACTGAGACGCCCTGGATATAGTACGTAACACCACGCCAAACAACCATGCCACGTCAGCTTGTTTATTCTGAAAAAAAAGTGTCACATGTATACTTATTATGTAACAAAAACTTCAAACTCCTAAATGAAATTGAATTAATCAATTGCTTTAATTTAAAAAAATGCTAACACTACTCGTAAATCATTTACTCCCAAATCATTGAAAATTTATTTCATATAAGCTGATTCACTGGTCTACATATACAGACAAAACAAAAAGGATGTTAACCATCCAACAAACTGTAGCTGGGTAACATTGTGATAATATCACAGTCGCCACAACCAAGGGGAAACACATGGAATTACCTGTGAGTATATAACAGCAATCACCCATCCTATTTGTCTCCCTTGTTCCAGAACTCTCTCCAAAAATACACCTCTAGCCCGCTCCAGCTCTGCTTTCACTTCCAAAAGCTGTAAAGGAATTATTTTTATGTTGCATTGCAGTTAATGTGTAAGGATTACTAGTTCCTTACTGTACAATTAACAGTGTATGGTACAATTAACAGTGTGTGGTACATTTTAATTGCAATAGTAAGTTGAAGTGAGATTTTTAGTGGAGATTCCTTATGCCCACCCCAATAATCCCCTAGATCTGCCCCTGATGTGCTGTGTAAAAATACACTGCCCATCGAGCCCTGGTTACCTACCAGTAGCTGCCCTATCAGTTTGAAACCTACTTATTTTTCAAACTACGCTCACATTTAAAACTAAGAGAAGATAACCATAGAATTCAGAAAATCTGTGTCAATCACATCACATTATTTTCCATTTAGACTTATCATATAATGTTTGGCGACTGTAGAAGTAAGATAAAGAATACAGCAGACGGACAGACAGATAGACAGACAGACGGACAGACAGATAGAAACAATCTGGGAAAAGCTGTCTGGGTTCGGAAGGGATAAAGAATAAATTGTATCAATAATATATTTATAGAGGCATACCAATTACCATAAATTTACTCTGTAAATATTGAGACACCAGATTGGATTTCAGAATAAAACTGTCCACTTTCCCAAAACAATAAAAAATGGCAAGTTTGGTAAATGTAGGGGAAATGACAAGGAAGTCTTGTCTCTGACAAACTTCGTCATTAAAACTGAACAATAAGGCTTGACATTGTAACACTACCTGTTCAGGACATTATAACACTACCTGTTTGGGACATTGTAACACTACCTGTTCAGGACATTGTAACACTACCTGTTTAGGACATTTTAACACTACCTGTTCAGGACATTGTAACACTACCTGTTGAGGACATTGTAACACTACCTGTTGAGGACATTGTAACACTACCTGTTTAGGACATTTTAACACTACCTGTTCAGGACATTGTAACACTACCTGTTTAGGACATTGTAACCCTACCTGTTCAGGACATTGTAACACTACCTGTTCGGGAAATTGTAACACTACCTGTTTGGGACATTGTAACGCTACCTGTTCGGGACATTGTAACACTACCTGTTCGGGACATTTTAACACTACCTGTTTAGGACATTGTAACACTACCTGGTCAGGACATTGTAACACTACCTGTTTAGGACATTATAACACTACCTGTTCAGGACATTGTAACACTTCCTGTTTAGGACATTGTAACACTACCTGTTCGGGACATTTTAACACTACCTGTTTAGGACATTGTAACACTCCCTGTTCAGGACATTGTAACACTACCTGTTCAGGACATTGTAACGCTACCTGTTCGGGACATTGTAACGCTTCCTGTTCGGGACATTGTAACACTACCTGTTTAGGACATTATAACACTACCTGTTCAGGACATTGTAACACTTCCTGTTCGGGACATTGTAACACTACCTGTTTAGGACATTGTAACACTACCTGTTCGGGACATTGTAACACTACCTGTTTGGGACATTGTAACGCTACCTGTTCGGGACATTGTAACGCTACCTGTTCGGGATATTGTAACACTACCTGTTCAGGACATTGTAACACTACCTGTTCAGGACACTTTTCCAGCTTTGACTCTGTATCCTCCAGGGAAGTGACATATTCCTTCATGTTGTCTCGTAAAGTCCCCATCTGGAATCAACCAATCAAAATAACAATGAGTTTTCCTCCATGATATGTTTGTGAATGAGCTTCTTCTTTCAATTGTTTGCAGGTAAGTCTCACTTGGCGGATGATATTACCTTAGTAAGTTTTTTGTGGTTAAGTTTACCTGAGTGAATATTTTTGTGTTTAAGTTTACCGATGCTACCTGCTTCTGAGTGAGCTTACTTTATAGGTAGACATTTGTTGTTAATTTTACATTCATGAGTTTGTTTCTGGTTAACCTTACCTTAGTGAGTTGTTTGGTTAAGTTTACCTTAATTACCTGTTTCTGAGTGAGCCTACCTTAGTTAGTTGTTTGGTTAAGTTTACCTTAATTACCTGTTTCTGAGTGAGCCTACCTTAGTTAGTTGTTTGTGGGCAGCTATATGGTACAACAAGACAATCCCGTCCAGTAGTTCCATGAGGGAGTTACCACTAGGCATCTGTAGCTCTGGGTAGGTTGTACCTGGGATATAAACAGATACCCTTAAACCTCTTGACACAATACTGGCTTCAACTCTGGGCTTGGTTTTTACTCGCAAACTTATCACAGAGTTAAGAAGTGTGAAACATACCATCCATCTTTACTTTGTTCTGGAAGAAATAACAGCTGAAGAAACAAGTATTACAGTTTGTTCTGCCATACAGTACCTGTTTTGGTAGATTTTCCTTGTTGTAGAAACAAGTATTACAGTTTATTCAGCCTTACAGTACCTGTTTTGGTAGTTTTTCCTTGTTATAGAAACAAGAATTACAGTTTGTTTGGCCTTACAGTACCTGTTTGCTAGCTTTTCCTTGTTATAAAAACAAGTATTACAGTTTGTTCAGCCTTCCAGTACCTGTTTTGGTAGCTTTTCCTTGTTATAGGAACAAATATTACAGTTTGTTTGGCCTTACAGTACCTGTTTTGCTAGCTTTTCCTTGTTATAAAAACAAGTATTCCAGTTTGTTCAGCCTTACAGTACCTGTTTTGGTAGCTTTTCCTTGTTGTATAAACAAGTATTACAGTTTGTTTGGCCTTACAGTCCCTGTTTTGCTAGCTTTTCCTTGTTATAAAAACAAGTATTCCAGTTTGTTCAGCCTTACAGTACCTGTTTTGGTAGCTTTTCCTTGTTATAGAAACAAGTATTACAGTTTGTTTGGCCTTAAAGTACCTGTTTTGCTAGCTTTTCCTTGTTATAAAAACAAGTATTACAGTTTGTTCAGCCTTCCAGTACCTGTTTTGGTAGCTTTTCCTTGTTATAGGAACTAGTATTACAGTTTGTTTGGCCTTACAGTCCCTGTTTTGCTAGCTTTTCCTTGTTATAAAAACAAGTATTACAGTTTGTTCAGCCTTCCAGTACCTGTTTTGGTAGCTTTTCCTTGTTGTAGAAACAAGTATTACAGTTTGTTCAGCCTTACAGTACCTGTTTTGGTAGCTTTTCCTTGTTATAGGAACAAGTATTACAGTTTGTTTGGCCTTACAGTACCTGTTTTGCTAGCTTTTCCTTGTTATAAAAACAAGTATTACAGTTTGTTCAGCCTTACAGTACCTGTTTTGGTAGCTTTTCCTTGTTATAGAAACAAGTATTACAGTTTGTTTGGCCTTACAGTACCTATTTTGGTAGCTTTTCCTTGTTTTAGAAACAAGGATTACAGTTTTTTTGGCCTTACAGTACCTGTTTTGGGAGCTTTTCTTTGTTGTAGAAATAAGTATCACAGTTTGTTCGGCCTTACAGTACCTGTTTTGGTGCTTTTCCTTGTTGTAGAAACAAATATTAAACTTTGTTCGGCCTTACAGTACCTGTTTTGGTAGCTTTTCCTTCCTTTTTATCCACTGACACCACTTTGCCATCTGCCTGTACTGATAAACCCTGAGCTTTGTTTACACTATCTGTAAAACAAGTATACCACATTCAATGATGTTTACACTATCTGTAAAACAAGTATACCACATTTAATGATGTTTACACTATCTGTAAAACAAGTATACCACATTCTATGATGTTTACCTCCCATTGTTCACTACTATTGCAAAATACAGATCAAGATTGTAACTACAAAAAGTTATAAAGTACATAACATATTGACTTGGTTCTCTCATGATATATGAGGATCAATGACCATGGTCCTCAGTCAACAATTATTCATAAGGCAGGGAAATAATAACACAATAAACCTTGGCCATTTAGGCACCAACTACTCCTAATAGAACCTATATAGGCTTTTCTTAAAATCCTTAAAGAACACATAAGGAGAACTACAATATAAGACACTAACAGAAAGTTATTAAACAAAAACTCACCTCCCAAAATCCTGTTTAAATGGGACACCAGACCGCCACATCTTTGAAAATCCATGTAATTTCTCGTCTCCGACCAAAACTCGTGGATTGGTACATAGGCCTCTGGAGGAAGTAATGCAGAGTTATGTGCATGATATCAAGCCCACTTTGAGAGAGATAATAATATATCAATAATCACTGAGTCCTAGACTGTAGTTTATTGCGTTTGGACACTTGGACCAGAGTTGTTGGTTTATGATATGGACAGTTCTAGTGATTCAATGTTGTTTTCTGGTGATTCTTGACGAAGATTCTTGAGGCCTACATTAATATTTACAGGTCGTTACACATTAAAAAAGAATAATTAACTGGTTTGTCTGCGTAAACAAATAGGCCCTTAACACACAACTAGATAGACAAGACATCCTCTCCAATGAAGACAAGCCCTTCCTCAATAATGAGTGCTTGTTGAAGGAGTCTATATCCAGGTAAAAACAAATTTACTTCAAACAGATAATTTCTTAAAAATATATCCTTATATGATAAGTATCAAACTCATAATTCAAACCTCATTGATTCTGATACTTCAGCTGTCAGATGGAGCAAGACTTTTGTATGGTAATAACATAAAATCAACATAATATTCAACATACAAAACAGTCTCTGCTACAAAGGAAAACAACAGTAGGGTATTCTATGAATTATGACTGAGGTACCAACCATCACTAAAAACGAATCTCTTTTGATCTTCCTCCTGAAATAAATCCCAGTAATGTCGGACTACCCTGACCATCCGGTGGAAAAAACACAGCATCACTGGTAGTGGACAGAAGGACACCTGATGAGTCTGAAACAGTATACAAAGTAGAACAGATAAAACACCTAGCAAGCCTGAACCAGTAGATAAAATACTTTAACACTTAAACAACAGTAATAAATAACCCCAAAGTTCATTTATATGGGATATTTATCAATGCAGAACCTTATATGGTATCTGCAATTGTGATATTAGATTTGAAGTAAAAATGTCAACATTCAAGATGGTCATTGAGAACTATTTTTTTTTATTAACATATGCATGAATTCTTGGTGCTATAGTAACATTCTTTTCAACTCCAGAGACTTATTAACTCATTCTGCAGTTTACATTTTTTACCCACAAAAGGGTAAAGCTAAAATAAAAACTTCTTTCATCAATCTCACAAGAAAACTGAAACTAAATTATGATTCCCCATATAAAATGGGTTTTTTATATATCTTATTCTGATAGCTATTTCACGGAAGTCTACTTTTATATAGGTTTCCCATAGCTCCTTCCAGAACTATTATTAAACAACCCAACATTTGTTTACATGACCTATTCCACTGTTGTAACATAGAAACAGAATTCTTTACTTACACGACCCATGCCACTGTTCTCGCGTAGAAACAAGCGAAACTTCTCCATGAAGATCTGACGAGATGTCTGCCCCTAAATAAATCAGGAAAGAAACACTTAATATACAGCAAGTAAGAAAAACATCGAACTGTATATACCTACATAGCCATTTACCAAAATCTTTTCATGTTGTAGACAAGCAACTTCTTCATTTATAAATATTAATATTTCTTCTATACAGCCTCAAAATAATCCCACCAGATCCTGTAATTGTTGAAAAAGCACAATACAAAGGAACATTACATGTAAATGTTTTTAACTGGAAGCTCTTCGGTTCTTTTTGTCAAACTAATAGAGTAATCAGGGACCAATCATGTTGTCACCTCAATCTTTCCTGAAAGGTTTCCGACTGATATTTATTGTCTGACAGAAATGTTAGCCATAAGAAACACAACCATATTCCCTGGTTTGGTAAATTAGTTATACATACACCATATAATAACATATACATGTATTATATCTTACCTCTTTGATATCCAGATGGGGGAGAAACGCCTTAATGATTTACATGTTTCCCTTACCTTTCGACTGTGTTACTTACCTCTTTGAGGTCCTTGTGAATGAGTAACACCTTGAGGATCTCCACCTGTTTCCCTTACCTGCCAGCTGTGTTACTTACCTCTTTGATGTCCTTGTGGACAAGTAACACCTTGAGGATCTCCACCTGTTTCCCTTACCCATCAGCTGTGTTACTTACCTCTTTGAGGTCCTTGTGGATGAATAACACCTTGTGGATCTCCACCTGTTTCCCTTACCTGTCGGTTGTGTTACTTACCTCTTTGAGGTCCTTGTGGACAAGTAACACCTTGAGGATCTCCACCTGCTTCCCTTACCTGTCAGCTGTGTTACTTACCTCTTTGATGTCCCTGTGGATGAGTAATACCTTGAGGATCTCCACCTGTTTCCCTTACCCATCAGCTGTGTTACTTACCTCTTTGAGGTCCTTGTAGACAAGTAACACCTTGAGGATCTCCACCTGTTTCCCTTACCCGTCAGCTGTGTTACTTACCTCTTTGATGTCCTTGTGGATGAGTAATACCTTGAGGATCTCCACCTGTTTCCCTTACCTTTCGACTGTGTTACTTACCTCTTTGAGGTCCTTGTGGATGAGTAACACCTTGTGGATCTCCACCTGTTTCCCTTACCCGTCAGCTGTGTTACTTACCTCTTTGATGTCCCTGTGGATGAGTAATACCTTGAGGATCTCCACCTGTTTCCCTTACCTTTCTACTGTGTTACTTACCTCTTTGATGTCCTTGTGGTTGAGTAACACCTTGAGGATCTCCACCTGTATGTCTTCTATAGCTGTAACATCACATGTCCTTGTGGATGAGTAACACCTTGAGGATCTCCACCTGTTTCCCTTACCCGTCAGCTGTGTTACTTACCTCTTTGATGTCCCTGTGGATGAGTAATACCTTGAGGATCTCCACCTGTTTCCCTTACCGGTCGGCTGTTGTACTTACCTCTTTGAGGTCCTTGTAGACAAGTAACACCTTGAGGATCTCCACCTGTTTCCCTGACCTTTTGACTGTGTAACTTACCTCTTTGATGTCCTTGTGGATGAGTAATACCTTGAGGATCGCCACCTGTTTCCCTTACCTTTCGACTGTGTTACTTACCCCTTTGAGGTCCTTGTGAATGAGTAACACCTTGAGGATCTCCACCTGTTTCCCTTACCCGTCAGCTGTGTTACTTACCTCTTTGATGTCCCTGTGGATGAGTAATACCTTGAGGATCTCCACCTGTTTCCCTTACCCGTCAGCTGTGTTACTTACCTCTTTGATGTCCTTGTGGATGAGTAGCACCTTGAGGATCTCCACCTGTATGTCTTCTATAGCTGTAACATCACATGTCCTTGTGGATGAGTAACACCTTGAGGATCTCCTCCTGTTTCCCTTACCTTTTGTCTGTGTAACTTACCTCTTTGATGTCCTTGTGGATGAGTAACAGCTTGAGGATCTCCACCTGTATGTCTTCTATAGCTGTAACATCACATGTCCTTGTGGATGAGTAACACCTTGAGGATCTCCACCTGTATCCCTTACCTGTCAGCTGTGTTACTTACCTCTTTGATGTCCTTGTGGATGAGTAACACCTTGAGGATCTCCACCTGTATGTCTTCTATAGCTGTAACATCACAAATTACACTGCAATCAACGGACTCCATCACCTGTCCTCTAATCTACTGTAGAGGTACTTACAAATCTATAAATCTCCATACAAATAGTCATGCTTTGTATCACAGAGCCAGAAAGATTGAAGACTTTCGGTTTAGATAGACATTCACCCTTTCACCCCTATGTTACTTTAGAAGACTCTACCATATATTGATCTGGATGAGCCCATCATGGTCTTCAGACGTGAAAGGGTTAATTCAGGTACAGTTCACTAGTACATGAGAGTAAAGAGTGAGTACTTATTTCTGTACAACTGCTGAGATCCAAGCTGACTTAAACAAGAATCACACTTGACTACACCTCTATAGACAAGCTGTTTGTACCTTCTATCTTCTGTTTCAAGTGTTCACAGGACTGCATGTATTTGGTATGTCGTGATTTCTCCTCCTCAGTCTTGGGTGGACGTGGCTTGTCCTCTTCCTGTCAAACCAAAACCAAGACCACACATTAAATATTTTGTTTCTTCTACAAATATGATCTTTAATACTGATACATGTACTAGGAAAAACTTAAAAACATATTGATATTTGGAATCAAAATTGAATTATTCAATTGTTTACATAATATGTTATCATCATGATGTGATCCATCTTAACAATACCCTAAATCATATAGTAGTAATAGGGTTAGTAGTATTGTGTATTGTTGAGGCTGTATACACATTTTCTTTGTTGAAGATCACTAGACCACATAAAGATAACACTACTTCTCATAGTAACCTTATCATAGCTGTCCCACCAGACCGTGGGAACCAGTTCCTGTAGGCCCACATCATCAGGGGGTTTGATGTGCATGAAGATCGGGAACTTGACCTTGTCAAATCTGGGTCATAGGTCAAGGATTCAATGGTACCAATTTTACCTGCATGTATCAATTTTGATACAATGTATAATGAAGCATGTTCTATGATAAATATACATAAACCAACATGTATAAGATCAGTGCTGGTTACAAGGATACATGACGTGTATGAGGAGATAGCGGCGCGTGGTGGCGTGCTGGAGGACACTCAGGGTCAGCATCAGGTACTTGTTCTGTAAACAACACACAGGCTATAATACAGCATTCCAGAGTATGTATCAACAACACACACGCTATAATACAGCATTCCAGAGTATGTATCAACAACACACAGAAACAAATATCAAACTTCTCAGTTATGTCTTCATGAAAATAATAATATCAGCTTTTATTGCTGAATGTAACAAATTACTGTGATTCCAGTGTAGAAAAACCACTAAAATATGTGTGATTGATATAGCAACAAAACACTATAACATAACACAGGTATTTTATTGTTTTTTAAAGTTTTTTTGGTTAAATGCAATATGTAATAATTCAAACAAAAGGCCTTTGTTGACAAAAACTTGAATACCTAAATACATAATGACATGTTTACTAAACACCTGTTACTTACAGCAGAACAGAAGTTTTCTGTCACTGATGAGAAGTGGTAACATAATGACATATTTACTAAACACCCGTTACTTACAGCAGAACAGAAGTTTTCTGTCACTGATGAGAAGTGATAACATAATGACATGTTTACTAAACACCTGTTACTTACAGCAGAACAGAAGTTTTCTGTCACTGATGAGAAGTGGTAACATAATGACATGTTTACTAAACACCTGTTACTTACAGCAGAACAGAAGTTTTCTGTCACTGATGAGAAGTGGTAACATAATGACATGTTTACTAAACACCTGTTACTTACAGCAGAACAGAAGTTTTCTGTCACTGATGAGAAGTGGTAACATAATGACATGTTTACTAAACACCTGTTACTTACAGCAGAACAGAAGTTTTCTGTCACTGATGAGAAGTGGTAACATAATGACATGTTTACTAAACACCTGTTACTTACAGCAGAACAGAAGTTTTCTGTCACTGATGAGAAGTGGTAACATAATGACATGTTTACTAAACACCTGTTACTTACAGCAGAACAGAAGTTTTCTGTCACTGATGAGAAGTGGTAACATAATGACATGTTTACTAAACACCTGTTACTTACAGCAGAACAGAAGTTTTCTGTCACTGATGAGAAGTGGTAACATAATGACATGTTTACTAAACACCTGTTACTTACAGCAGAACAGAAGTTTTCTGTCACTGATGAGAAGTGGTAACATAATGACATGTTTACTAAACACCTGTTACTTACAGCAGAACAGAAGTTTTCTGTCACTGATGAGAAGTGGTAACATAATGACATGTTTACTAAACACCTGTTACTTACAGCAGAACAGAAGTTTTCTGTCACTGATGAGAAGTGGTAACATAATGACATGTTTACTAAACACCTGTTACTTACAGCAGAACAGAAGTTTTCTGTCACTGATGAGAAGTGGTAACATAATGACATGTTTACTAAACACCTGTTACTTACAGCAGAACAGAAGTTTTCTGTCACTGATGAGAAGTGGTAACATAATGACATGTTTACTAAACACCTGTTACTTACAGCAGAACAGAAGTTTTCTGTCACTGATGAGAAGTGGTAACATAATGACATGTTTACTAAACACCTGTTACTTACAGCAGAACAGAAGTTTTCTGTCACTGATGAGAAGTGGTAACATAATGACATGTTTACTAAACACCTGTTACTTACAGCAGAACAGAAGTTTTCTGTCACTGATGAGAAGTGGTAACATAATGACATGTTTACTAAACACCTGTTACTTACAGCAGAACAGAAGTTTTCTGTCACTGATGAGAAGTGGTAACATAATGACATGTTTACTAAACACCTGTTACTTACAGCAGAACAGAAGTTTTCTGTCACTGATGAGAAGTGGTAACATAATGACATGTTTACTAAACACCTGTTACTTACAGCAGAACAGAAGTTTTCTGTCACTGATGAGAAGTGGTAACATAATGACATGTTTACTAAACACCTGTTACTTACAGCAGAACAGAAGTTTTCTGTCACTGATGAGAAGTGGTAACATAATGACATGTTTACTAAACACCTGTTACTTACAGCAGAACAGAAGTTTTCTGTCACTGATGAGAAGTGGTAACATAATGACATGTTTACTAAACACCTGTTACTTACAGCAGAACAGAAGTTTTCTGTCACTGATGAGAAGTGGTAACATAATGACATGTTTACTAAACACCTGTTACTTACAGCAGAACAGAAGTTTTCTGTCACTGATGAGAAGTGGTAACATAATGACATGTTTACTAAACACCTGTTACTTACAGCAGAACAGAAGTTTTCTGTCACTGATGAGAAGTGGTAACATAATGACATGTTTACTAAACACCTGTTACTTACAGCAGAACAGAAGTTTTCTGTCACTGATGAGAAGTGGTAACATAATGACATGTTTACTAAACACCTGTTACTTACAGCAGAACAGAAGTTTTCTGTCACTGATGAGAAGTGGTAACATAATGACATGTTTACTAAACACCTGTTACTTACAGCAGAACAGAAGTTTTCTGTCACTGATGAGAAGTGGTAACATAATGACATGTTTACTAAACACCTGTTACTTACAGCAGAACAGAAGTTTTCTGTCACTGATGAGAAGTGGTAACATAATGACATGTTTACTAAACACCTGTTACTTACAGCAGAACAGAAGTTTTCTGTCACTGATGAGAAGTGGTAACATAATGACATGTTTACTAAACACCTGTTACTTACAGCAGAACAGAAGTTTTCTGTCACTGATGAGAAGTGGTAACATAATGACATGTTTACTAAACACCTGTTACTTACAGCAGAACAGAAGTTTTCTGTCACTGATGAGAAGTGGTAACATAATGACATGTTTACTAAACACCTGTTACTTACAGCAGAACAGAAGTTTTCTGTCACTGATGAGAAGTGGTAACATAATGACATGTTTACTAAACACCTGTTACTTACAGCAGAACAGAAGTTTTCTGTCACTGATGAGAAGTGGTAACATAATGACATGTTTACTAAACACCTGTTACTTACAGCAGAACAGAAGTTTTCTGTCACTGATGAGAAGTGGTAACATAATGACATGTTTACTAAACACCTGTTACTTACAGCAGAACAGAAGTTTTCTGTCACTGATGAGAAGTGGTAACATAATGACATGTTTACTAAACACCTGTTAATTACAGCAGAACAGAAGTTTTCTGTCACTGATGAGAAGTGGTAACATAATGACATATTTACTAAACACCTGTTACTTACAGCAGAATAGAAGTTTTCTGTCATTGATGAGAAGTGATAACATAATGACATGTTTACTAAACACCTGTTACTTACAGCAGAACAGAAGTTTTCTGTCACTGATGAGAAGCGGTAACACTGGAGCAAGGAAATCAACAGGTTCTCAAAGCAGGACTTCAGTTCATGGTCCTAAAGTAAAACGACAGAAACAGAAGTCAATAATTATAAATGTTTGAATGATAAGCTGTTTATGATCCAGTTTATAGCAGATGTGTTTTTTGTTACATTCATTTTTTAATGTCACTTCTAAGTTTTTATAAGCATGTTTCTGTAACAATACAAAACCTTAACCTTGACATATAGCCATGGGTCATTGCAAGGTTCTAGGGTACAGCTACTGACCATAACGCCAATGTCTGACACTGCAGGTTCCATGTTTGTTTATCCTGATTATTTAGTCTACCCAGCTATACAACAAGGTACCAGTCTACTGGATGGTAATCTTGCAACAGACTGGTGTACTGGTAGGGAGGGGAGTAACTGGGAAGACATTGTATATTACCTGCATGAGAGACCACATCTGGTTGAGTAGCCTCTGGACTGGTGTACTGGTAGGGAGGGGAGTAACAGGGAAGACATCGTATATTACCTGCATAAGAGACCACATCTGGTCGAGTAGCCTCTGGACTGGTGTACTGGTAGGTAGGGGAGTTATTGGAAGGTCATCGTATGTTACTTGCATAAGAGACCACATCTGGTCAAGTAGCCTCTGGACTGGTGTACTGGTAGGGAGGGGAGTTATTGGAAGGTCATCTATGTTACCTGCATAAGAGACCACATCTGGTTGAGTAGCCTCTGGACTGGTGTACTGGTAGGGAGGGGAGTTATTGGGAAGGTCATCTTATGTTACCTGCATAAAAGACCACATCTGGTCGAGTAGCCTCTGGACTGATGTACTGGTAGGGAGGGGAGTTATTGGAAGGTCATCTATGTTACCTGCATAAGAGACTACATCTGGTTGAGTAGCCTCTGGACTGGTGTACTGGTAGGGAGGGGAGTTATTGGGAAGGTCATCTTATGTTACCTGCATAAAAGACCACATCTGGTCGAGTAGCCTCTGGACTGATGTACTGGTAGGGAGGGGAGTTAATGGAAGGTCATCGTATGTTACCTGCATAAGAGACCACATCTGGTCGAGTAGCCTCTGGACTGGTGTACTGTTAGGGAGGGAAGTTATTGGGAAGACATTGTATATTACCTGCATAAGAGACCACATCTGGTCGAGTAGCCTCTGGACTGCCACCTGTTCCCTCTTATAGGATGTCTGGTCACACAGCTTCAGCAGGAACGGCAGCAGACACGCCTCCACCACATAGGAACTTCTCTGAGACAACATCAAAAGTACAGAAACTTCTCAACAAAGGTTTACAATTTAATCATTGTATGACAGACCACTGATTCCACATGCTTTTTTAAATTTGTGTTGGTTTATCTTTTATAGAAGTTGTAAAATTGTTTTTAATAAATTGTTATAATTCGTTTTAAAATGTATTGAATATTTCTGTGATGATTTGGTTGGTTAGCCTTGTAAAATGAGTTAAAACTTGTAAGATCGGATTGATTTCACTAAAAATATGAATCGTGAAATCAAGGTTGGAAAGGCTGTTGAAATATTAATTCCATATAAATTAGTCCATGTATACAGGGTAACTATGATGGTAGTGTTGTTTTCCTTGTATTGGCAGTCCTCATTAACAATTAATCTACAAGTTCAACATAATAGAAAAAATCCTAATAAAGTAACATGACATACCCAACATTCTTGAAACCACATATTTAACAATACGCAAACATGTATTATTCTACATCAAAAACATAGTGTAATCACAGGTGTCTACAGTTACTACAGGTCTTGTATAATATATTGTGTTTCCTCAGGATTAAAATATAAAGTTATTTATAGATATCATTGGCTTTACTCCGTTAAAATATTTATAAACCTATCAACATACCAGCAAGGGTGCCAACTTTTCAAATATATGGGCAGCGATAAGCATTATTGAACATTTGTTGCTGGGGAACTCTCCTAGCTTTGGAGGTGGAACACTCTTCTTGTCCGACACCAAGAACTCCATTCCCATCTAAACAAAACAATACAATCAACTCAGTATTCTGTGACTTTAGGTGCGTAACTTCGCTAGACAAAAACGTCGTAGGTTTTTAAACTATTCCAACAGTCCCTCTACTTGAATAATTTACCACTATGTAAACATTTAAATTCCCAGGCAGTACCTTTTGTTAATACTTATGTCATTTGTCAATTCAAAACTGTATCAATAGTTCTTCAATTGGGACAGAATTAATCTTGATTTTCTCTATTTCAAAATCTTCCAGATTTCTCTATGATCAAATCCAGGGGATCTACTCTCCATATACATATTTTCTCTGCACCCTTGAAATATGTCACAAAAAATTGAAGACACAGCTAGCCATTTGATTGGTTTCAGTCATTAACACCTGACCAATCTCTTGGCTAACACTTGTACTTTGAAATAACAGAAGAGCTACACCTAAATCAAAGCCAGACAATCTGACTGCAATGCTACCACATGATTCCATTTGTATTTGGTATCAAGATATCACAGATTTGCAAGACTCTGTAACAGTTTCCAGACTTGTCTTATCATATTTTTCACAAATAAGCAAATACAAACCCTTTGATTTTGCCATGAAATGTTCCATGAGTGCAGAGAAGGTGCATAGCAAAAGAGCAAAAACCCTAAGATTCTGAACATAGAACTGCCAAAGTTTCCACTATAGATATTCACAACATGTTTCAGTGCTCAGCGTTCCATTTACATCAACAGCTTTGTATTAAGTCCATCCCTTTGTTAAACAGATGCTGTGTATGAGGAGCATAAACCAATAACCCTTTACAACATGTAAAGAGGTCTCTATAGTAAAAATAGGGGAAATCTATATCAAATCTTACCCCCAGTAGGTAAATACTTACACTGGAACTATCAGCCATTTCTGTGTGTATGTTTTCCAGGTAGCTGAACAGGAGATGTGCTTTTGCTACACTTGCATATGGTACATCTTGGAGTGGTCGGTAGCCCGCAATAGGGTACCTATACAACAGGTAATAATTGATTGTACAATAGCCCACAATAGGGTACCTATACAACAGGTAATAATTGATTGTACAGTAGCCCACAATAGGGTACCTATACAACAGGTAATAATTGATTGTACAGTAGCCCGCAATAGGGTACCTATACAGCAGGTAATAATTGATTGTAAAGTAGCCCACAATAGGGTACCTATACAACAGGTAAAAATTGATTGTACAGTAGCCCGCAATAGGGTACCTATACAACAGGTAATAATTGATTGTACAGTAGCCCGCAATAGGGTACCTATACAACAGGTAAAAATTGATCGTACAGTAGCCCGCAATAGGGTACCTATACAACAGGTAATAATTGATTCTACAGTAGCCCACAATAGGGTACCTATACAACAGGTAATAATTGATTGTACAGTAGCCCACAATAGGGTACCTGTACAACAGGTAATAATTGATTGTACAGTAGCCCACAATAGGGTATCTATTCAACAGACAGGTAATATGTGATTGTACAGTAATGTACATAATAAAATACAACAGGTAACTAGCGACAAGGTCTGTAGCCCGCATCTCCTTGTACCCTCAAAACATGTGTGTTAATCTTTAATCTATCCTACCCTCACAATATCTCATGTGTCAACCTTTTATATTGAACTATTTCAATTCAAAACCATCATTCCAGCTGGTACCTAAGAGGTGTGGCTCCAAAGTTAGCATGTAGATTTTCGCCCTGGGACAGGCTGACAGCAGGGAAGTAGGCCAGACCACTCCCCACTTGTATGTCTGTGAAGGCGACGCCCATAGACTTCCCATTCCTGGCAAATAAAGACAGTAATTGAATCTCTTCATCAACCTAAACAGCATTAATAATTGTATCTCTTCATCAACCTGAACAGCATGAATAGTTGTATCTCTTCATCAACCTAAACAGCATTAATAGTTGTATCTCTTCATCAACATAAACAGCATTAATAATTATATCTCTTCATCAACCTAAACAGCATTAATAATTATATCTCTTCATCAACCTAAACAGCATTAATAGTTGTATCTCTTCTTCAACCTAAACAGCATTAATAATTATATCTCTTCATCAACCTAAACAGCATTAATAGTTGGATCTCTTCATCAACCTAAACAGCATTAATCTAAGTGAACACTTTGTTTCTTTATGTCTGAATACAGAAACATTACTTAAAACAAAGTAAAGAGCCTCCACACAACTTCAGTACATGTATCAACCCATTGTACCCAGCCTCCACACAACTTCAGTCCATGTATCAATCCATTGTACCCAGCCTCCACACAACTTCAGTCCATGTATCAATCCATTGTACCCAGCCTCCACACGACTTCAGTACATGTATCAATCCATTGTACCCAGCCTCCACACAACTTCAGTATATGTATCAATCCATTGTACCCAGCCTCCACACAACTTCGGTACATGTATCAGATAATTGTATCTCTTCATCAACCTAAACAGCATTAATAATTGTATCTCTTCATCAACCTAAACAGCATTAATCTAAGTGAACACTTTGTTTCTTTTATGTCTGAATACAGAAACATTACTTAAAACAAAGTAAAGAGCCTCCACACAACTTCAGTACATGTATCAATCCATTGTACCAAACCTCCACACAACTTCAGTACATGTATCAATCCATTGTACCCAGCCTCCACACAACTTCAGTACATGTATCAATCCATTGTACCCAGCCTCCACACAACTTCAGTACATGTATCAATCCATTGTACCCAGCCTCCACACAACTTCAGTACATGTATCAATCCATTGTACCCAGCCTCCACACAACTTCAGTACATGTATCAATCCATTGTACCCAGCCTCCACACAACTTCAGTACATGTATCAATCCATTGTACCCAGCCTCCACACAACTTCAGTACATGTATCAATCCATTGTACCCAGCCTCCACACAACTTCAGTACATGTATCAATCCATTGTACCCAGCCTCCACACAACTTCAGTACATGTATCAATCCATTGTACCCAGCCTCCACACAACTTCAGTACATGTATCAATCCATTGTACCCAGCCTCCACACAACTTCAGTACATGTATCAATCCATTGTACCCAGCCTCCACACAACTTCAGTACATGTATCAATCCATTGTACCCAGCCTCCACACAACTTCAGTACATGTATCAATCCATTGTACCCAGCCTCCACACAACTTCAGTACATGTATCAATCCATTGTACCCAGCCTCCACACAACTTCAGTACATGTATCAATCCATTGTACCCAGCCTCCACACAACTTCAGTACATGTATCAATCCATTGTACCCAGCCTCCACACAACTTCAGTACATGTATCAATCCATTGTACCCAGCCTCCACACAACTTCAGTACATGTATCAATCCATTGTACCCAGCCTCCACACAACTTCAGTACATGTATCAATCCATTGTACCCAGCCTCCACACAACTTCAGTACATGTATCAATCCATTGTACCCAGCCTCCACACAACTTCAGTACATGTATCAATCCATTGTACCCAGCCTCCACACAACTTCAGTACATGTATCAATCCATTGTACCCAGCCTCCACACAACTTCAGTACATGTATCAATCCATTGTACCCAGCCTCCACACAACTTCAGTACATGTATCAATCCATTGTACCCAGCCTCCACACAACTTCAGTACATGTATCAATCCATTGTACCCAGCCTCCACACAACTTCAGTACATGTATCAATCCATTGTACCCAGCCTCCACACAACTTCAGTACATGTATCAATCCATTGTACCCAGCCTCCACACAACTTCAGTACATGTATCAATCCATTGTACCCAGCCTCCACACAACTTCAGTACATGTATCAATCCATTGTACCCAGCCTCCACACAACTTCAGTACATGTATCAATCCATTGTACCCAGCCTCCACACAACTTCAGTACATGTATCAATCCATTGTACCCAGCCTCCACACAACTTCAGTACATGTATCAATCCATTGTACCCAGCCTCCACACAACTTCAGTACATGTATCAATCCATTGTACCCAGCCTCCACACAACTTCAGTACATGTATCAATCCATTGTACCCAGCCTCCACACAACTTCAGTACATGTATCAATCCATTGTACCCAGCCTCCACACAACTTCAGTACATGTATCAATCCATTGTACCCAGCCTCCACACAACTTAAGTACATGTATCAAAAAGGAACGAAGGGACTAAACTCTATAAAATGAGGCACAATTTTAGTGCCAAGCAATCTGCCTCATTATCTCAAGATTACAAAAATTTCAAATTTGACAATGGATAGTGATAATGCAGAAATATGCCTAAGACAAAGATAGATAAATCGATGGATATAATATTTAGGAGCTTTCTAACACTGAAAGGGCAAACCTGTGGTCCCTTCCAGACAGTTTGTCAGTTTGTTAACATTTATCAATGATTTTCCCCCAATTTGTCCCAGGGTCCATTTCATCAAATACACAATGTAAAACAAATCCCCAGACCTTCTTCTTTATCCAATTTAACGTCCTTAGAATACACAAAGTTAAATTTAAAAGATACTTACCTGTAAAATGTAGCTGTCCCTGCGTCACAGTCCAGAGCACAGGTAATCACATCTCCAGTCAACCATTGCTACAACACAAATTACACATTAGAGTTAATCTTGTACACTGTAAAGTTCATGCGTACACAGTGACAGAAGTGCTGTGGTATTTCTAACAATCTGAAACATGGTATTTCTAACAATCTGAAACATGGTATTTCTAATAGTCTGAAACTATTTTGAGTAACAAGAAATATAAAAGCTGCTCTTAAAAAACTTCAACTTGCCGAGGTATGGAAGAAATCAGCTTTGTTATGGTATGAACCTCTCCATATCCTTACAAAACTATAACATGCAGAGCTATGGAAGAAATTAACATTTTTATGCTAAGTACCTCTCCATATCTATGGAAGATATGAACATTTGGATGGTATGTACCTCTCCATATCTATAGAAGATATTAACATTGGTATGGTATATACCTCTCCATATCTATAGAAGGTCTTAAAATTTGTATGGTATGTACCTCTCCATATCTACAGAAGATATCAACATTTGTATTGTATGTACCTCTCCATATCTATAGCAGATATCAACATTTTTATGGTATGTACCTCTCCATATCTATAGAAGGTCTTAAAATTTGTATGGTATATACCTCTCCATATCTACAGAAGGTATCAACATTTGTATGGTATGTCCCTCTCCATATCTACAGAAGAGATCAACATTTGTATGGTATGTCCCTCACCATATCTTCAGAAGATATCAACATTTGTATGGTATGTACCTCTCCATATCTATAGAAGATATCAACATTTTTATGGTATGTACCTCTCCATATCGGTGTGTTTTGACGTTCCACTTCCTCAACCTGCTTCCATCATAGGCATATGATCTTACAGTGTCTCCAACACCTTCCTGTTCAATAAACAAATATCAATACTTATTTTAAGCTTTTACAGATATACAAACTAACAAACAAACACATATCTATGATAGGTATTTACTGATATACAAACTACATACATTATAATTATATCATTATCTAAAATTACTTCAAACCTCCAAGCTATCAAGGGTCAATGTTTTCATCATTTTATCTACAATGGTTGATATTTTATCACGTGTACATATAAGCTGACCAGAAATCATGATTCAGAATTTTGTTTGATACGTTTTTCTACATTTCTCCCCCATAATCAGGTATACAACATTTGATTCCAGCAATATGCTATTCAGCATCATTAAGTTAGAAGTAACCAGTCATACCTCTACACCTCATCATTACGTAGACAAAGAGACAGCGATGACATTAAATGACTTTGAATCAAGATCTAAATACCATGTCATTTCATAAAAGGTATTTTCCCACAAAAACAAGGAAAATTATTATAATTGAACTTTGTTCTTTACTGAGATCCAGTCCTACCTCATATGAGAATTTACAGGACAGGGTACACCAGCCGAGCTGCATCACACCTTTACTTCCCAGCATCAGCTCGTACACCCATTTACCTGGTACCAAAAGTAGGCAGTTCAAAATCTAGCACACAAGTATCTCAATAGATTATAACACAAGGCAAATGTGTAAGGAAAATCATTGAATTAATGAATACAAATAAAACAAAAACAGAACATCTAAACATACCATAACATCAACACATAGCGACAAAAAATAATTTTGATATTGGAAAGTTTTAATTCCTAAAAGGGCACCATTTACAATGTGACTAACTTACTAGTGTGTGGAAGTTCTAAGGTATCTGTAACAAAAATTGGGATATGGTCCAAAAACACGTTTTGCAAAATGTATATATTTTAGGCATCAAAAACTTGTACAGGAAGTTAACAGATTCAATCTGTGGCAGTTTTTGAGATAAGCTCTGGAAACAATGGTGCTGGGATGAAAGAAAACAGGGAGCAAGAACAGATGAGAATTACACCATGTGTAAAATTTAGTTTGATGTATCCAAATCTTTTGTTCTACTTCAATTTCATTTCACTTTCATTTATTGTCCTTACATAACATGAACTTGTATAGTATCAAACTCACCTTTGCATACACAACAGTTGGCTCTCATGGTACTGAAGTTACTGTAACTTGTCAACTGCAGAAAACAAAATGGTCCATATCTGTGTCAAGATTTCCAAAGTCTCCATTGACTTAAACCTTTTTTATACATATAAAACAAAATGTAACAACGACAACAAAACCTGGTGAATGGCAGTGTTAAATGTTGTCCACTTAACCTTCTTTACTGATTACAGATACCAACTCTTCACGATACAGTAACCCTTTAGTTATTCCAACTGATAATATGGGAAATGAGGATGTGAAAACAGAAATTCGAATTTATATATACACCAATCAGATTACAGGATTCATACATAAGGTGTAATTAGAAATGATTACCATTATGACAAATGTAATAAACAGTAGCCTCCAGACCTACCCCTAGTCTGTCGGAGTCAACCAGCATTGTTCCAACATTTGAACCGATGTCAAATTCCACTTCCCCAAAACTGATCCGACCGCCATCAGATACTGGTTCTGAAATAAGAAAGGTGAATACTGTCAGTCGACTTATATTGCTATCGCACATTTTAAAATCTTTATAATCATTTTTATTGAATTTACCGGTAATTTCAATCATTAATATGATGTTCTACATTAACAAAATGGTTATCATTAGTCTTACTTACCTTAAATTCAGTGTCCTGGCGATCAACCAGAGTAATTCAATATAATTCTTATTTGGTTGAAATTTGTTACTCCTACTATATACTAGAGCAATTTTCAATACACTGGTATGCTTTCCTGATGGTCAACTAAAAACCAGTTTAATTGGCTAATCAATTATGACAGTTGCTTGAATGTTATAATTGATGATTAAAAAAAAATAACATTAAAATGCATTAAAATTGTATAAGTTGCTGTACTGAGATTAATATTTGATCATATTTGATCTCAAAATGATCATAATACTTTAATTTAGTTCAATGATACCTGATTTCCTATCATATCAATATTGAAAAAAAAATCACTGTAAATCTATACACTGACTTTTTGTTGGTGATTTTGGCTAGAAGTAAGTACCGTACATATATCTTACTTATGTGGAAGTCTTTGCCTGCCACGCCCTCCTCCGTTCCCACATCATTCTCACACTCCTGGGCCACCACATCCTTCAGACCTTTATCTAGGAATGTCTGAAGGGTTTCCAGACCAGACAGTTCCCTTTATATCATAAAAACATCACTTATAAAACAGTTATACTAATACAGAATGTATATGACCCATATACTACGATATACTGGTGACTGTTGTCTACGCAGTCCCAATGTACATCACATATCTGGTGGATTTTTCAAGATATGCTACCATTAATTAATGAATGAATATTTATAAAGCTGTCTAATTTCTAAATCAATTTATCAATACATAGATTATATCAAAATAAAAGGATATGTAATACAATGTTTATTATAATATTTTATGCATAACAATCAGTTAAGATAATCCATGAATTAATTATAGCAGTACTACAATCCCTGCAGACCTAAAAGTCTTCATCACCATATACAATTTCATTAATGGATTTAAAACTAAATCAGAGATAAATAAAAACTGTTATAAAGTGTTATAAGTGTAAAGGATTAACCACCATATGCACGGTCAACAAGTCACAGCTGAATGCCATGTGACCAACAAGTCAGTGGTGCTTACCTTGTGCCGAAGGAGGCACAGGCCTGTGATGAGAGATCTGTAGAAGTTGGGAACACTTTGTCCAATAGATTCCTAGTGTATGGGTCTGAAAAGAAAATGTCACTTTCAATACAACTGATGAACAATCCACACATCATATTACCACACACAATCCCGCCCAAGGACAAACCACATATCATATTACCACACACAATCCTGCCCAAGGAAAAGCCACACATCAGATTATCACCCACGATCCCGCCCAAGGAAAAGTCACATATCAGATTATCACCCACAATCCCGCCCAAAGACAAACCACATATCGGAATATCACCCACACTCCTCCTAGGACAAACAATATATCAGATTATCACCCACAATCCCGCCCAAGGACAAACCTCAAATCGGAATATCACCCACGATCCCCCTAAGGCAAACAATATATCGGATTATCACCCACGATCCCCCTAGGCCAAATCACATATCAGATTTAAATGTCATATATAATTTTTGTTGATGAATTCAAAAGATTTTCTGATGCGTCATCGCGGAAGAATAATGTCTAGACGCAGTGCACAGGCTCAGCTGTGAGTCTATGGCAGCCATCTTTTTACTAGTGCAAAGTGGAGAGCCGCTAAATTTCGAGGTTCTACATCGTCTGGAATGTGAAGCTGCAGTAAATGAATGTTGAAAAAAGACAGGAAACCAGACGTGGCTGGATAGGTCGAAAAATTTAATGACATTTGGCTGTTCGACTGCATTTCATAAAAGACAGGACCACATGGATCTACCACAGGGGTTCGTTAAAAATGTCTGAAATACACATATAATGCTATAACTGATATGGATCACAGCACACATAAACATACATTTATACACATATGCTATACTGATATGGGTCTCATCACCCATAAACATACATTTATATGTATGTTTATGTGTGCTGTGACCCCTATCAGTTATAGCATTATATGTGTATTTCAGGCATCTGTAATGAACCCCTGTGAATAGAATGGGTATCTGGACGGAGAATTTCTAGGGCAGTATATGACTTGTCACTGCCGCTAGTAACAGTACTAGTGAGCTGATAATATTTTGCTGATTGATCGTTTTTGGTTGTTTGAACAAGTTCTTGTGTAGCTTCAATAAAAATGTAAAATATCATCAAGTGGTACATCTTCTTTGTTTAAACATGTCAATAGTTACCTCCCTTCGCCAAATCATACGCACAGGCAATGTTAATCTGGTCAAATTCATCGGCAAATGAAACAGGTTACATTTGGTAGTTGCATTGAGTCTAACTTGAGTAGGAATTGAAATATTGAAGGATGGTTCTGGATATGAAATGAAACCTTCTAACTTCCCTCTAATGTGGAAAGTATGGAAAGATCTCTTGATAGAGACATCGCCAGCTTCGTGAAAAGTGAAGCTCCATCCATATCATTGATTAAGTACACAAAGATACAAATTTGGCTTCAAGATGGAGCATTGGGAGTTTAGTACAGCGACGTTGTTGTTACATGCTTTGCCACCTCACTCTAAGACAAATCAAAAGTATTTTATCCAAAAGACCGAAATGTTATTCAAGTGCTAACTCTGATACACTTATTGATTTTAAAGGTGTGACTGACCTTAAATAATTCATTAATAAAATGTATTTTCAGAACAGTTTGTTGGTCTAGAATCATAACTTTTACAAATTTCATTTATATATTCTACCAATTCGGATTCACATGACATGCTTTGTTGGAAGATGTAGCGTAACAGAAAAAGACTGTTTTAAGGTGACCAGCTGCAGGTAGCTCAGCTGATTAGTACGGCCATCTCTAGTCTGGAAGTCCCAGTTTTGAATCCTGGTCTGGCCCCTTTGTATTTTCATTTTCCTGTTACATTGGTACATGTGGTCAACTCTTGGTCAAGTAATGGGTGCTGGCTTAAATGGCCTTTAGATGGTAGCCGAACTGGACAGGGTCGATCGGTGGCAAAAAAGTAGCTTAATTGGTAGAGCATCTATCTAGAGTTCGGAGGGTCCCAGGTTCGAACGCCGGTCTGGTCAATGCATTTCTCTTTCTCCTGTTACAAAATTGGCGAGCTTGCCAACTCTTGTTTCAAGCACTCGGGTCATGATACTCCAACACTGTTAAAGGTTTACACGGCGAGATACTTATGACAGGCAATGCGATAGAAAAAATGGTCGACCAGCGGCCTCTTATGGAGTAGGGTCATGAATCATGCTCTCGATATAATCCCTATAATTTGAGTAAGACAAATGGATAATTTTCAGGAAAAGATGTGAGTTTTTAATATTCATACAATTAACAGAAATCGCTGCACTATTTAGAAACCTTCTATGCACATTGCTTCTTCAGCTATATAGTTTATTTCAATTATTTCCTTTGGTGCCGATTTGAGTCACCAAAAAAGGAGACATTTTTTGGATCTGCTTTTAAATGACCCAACCTGTTCTCTAGTACCTTTCTTTACTGCTGTTTGTTGACGATCCTCCATTATCGGCAAAAATAATGGTAACCCAGTATATCTTCGAATTCACTGTCGAATAGGCGAGCCAGCGAAAAGAAAATCAAAACAGGAAGTGGCGAACAACACACATATTTTGACGGAAGTGAATGTGCGCAAAGTAAACCTGAAATAATACCCTTTCTTGTTATTGCATTACTATGTTGACTAAGTCATGACGTGTAATTACAACTAAAATATATTTATTAAAGGAGATCGACATATAAAAATAAAGTAGGAAAAAGTATTTATACAAATTAAAATTTCCACAAATTATTCCGCGGAGTCTCAATAATTTATTAAGGATGCGCATACGTTAAACCTGTGTAAATAAAGACGAAAGTAATAAAACTGTTATGAAGTCTATCTATAAACCGTGACCATCGTTATAACAAACTAAAGTTACAATAACATAGAAATCACCTCCAGTAATACTGTTTCATTTTTTTTTTAAATTTATAATTTTATATCATTATTTTATTTTGGAACAGTTTGAAATAATTAATGTGTTTGGTTAGGTTGGTAGTATACAGCTTTTCATCACTCTAAAACCAATAATCGACAAACTGCAAAGTATCATATTGCGTTATATTCAATGGTGGTCGACCACACTTTTTAAAGTCTCATATTTACAATAACATTTGCCCGGTGCACGGACTTTGGAGATAAAAAGATTCCTTGCATTGTGTAGCGTAACTAGACTGGGTCATTCGCCGGAGACTAACTTAATCACTTGGTAGATCTGTCTAGAGTTAGGAGGGTCCAAGGTTTGAATCCCGGTCTAGCTGTTCATTGTTCCACCCCTATTAAAATCGCGCGGTGACAAGGATTCAAACCTCAGTGACTCTCTGAACTCTAGAAGGACGCCTGTTTTATTCCATTACACATGCATCTAGATACATGTTAAAGGACCACAAAACTGCTTACAATTGTAATCCCCTTTATTGTCTTCAAGAGTATGTAATACATGACAATATTATCTCTCCCAATAGATGCTTTTGAATGTGTGAAAGAAAAAGTAACTAATACATACATCCCAGGGTCATGCAAACCTGTGTTACTTTCCTTTAAATGCCATAGCTAGGATACAGCTTTACAAGATATGCAAGAGTCCGATTCATTTGTTTGAACATTTACAGTGATATGTGACATCTGTGACAATGCATTTATTACAAATATGATGAAACTTTCATCCCAGAAAGTTACATGTAATGTATTAATTAGGTTTACAGTCAGTAGAATCACCAAACCATTGCATATTAAGATGGTGACCTAACAACTGACCTAATCAAAATTGACCATGTTTTCTTTCTTCACTTTTCAAACTTCTATGAGTCAAGGTGAAGAAATATAAGTCTAGTCATAAGTCGACTATGGTATACATCATCTGTAGTCATTTCCTTATAGATAACCCCACAGCATCACTTCATCATCTGTACTCATTTCCTTAAAGATAACCCAACAGCATCACTACATCATCGGTAGTCATTTCCTTATAGATAATCCCACAGCATCACTTCATCACCTGTAGTCATTTCCTTATAGATAATCCCACAGCATCACTTCATCATCTGTAGTCATTTCCTTATAGATAATCCCACAGCATCACTTCATCACCTGTAGTCATTTCCTCATAGATAACCCCACAGCATCACTACATCATCTGTAGTCATTTCCTTATAGATAATCCCACAGCATCACTACATCATCGGTAGTCATTTCCTTAAAGATAACCCAACAGCATCACTACATCATCTGTAGTCATTTCCTTATAGATAACCCCACAGCATCACTACATCATTATAGATAACCCCACAGCATCACTTCATCACCTGTAGTCATTTCCTTAAAGATAACCCAACAGCATCACTACATCATCGGAAGTCATTTCCTTATAGAGAACCCCACAGCATCACTACATCATCTGTAGTCATTTCCTTAAAGATAACCCCACAGCATCACTACATCATCTTTAGTCATTTCCTTATAGATAACCCCACAGCAACACTCCATCATCTGTAGTCATTTCCTTATAGATAATCCCACAGCATCACTTCATCACCTGTAGTCAGTTCCTTAAAGATAACCCAACAGCATCACTACATCGTCTGTAGTCATTTCCTTATAGATAACCCCACATCATCACTACATCATCTGTAGTCATTTCCTTAAAGATAACCCAACAGCATCACTCCATCATCTGTAGTCATTTCCTTATAGATAACCACACAGCATCACTACATCATTATAGATAACCCCACAGCATCACTTCATCACCTGTAGTCATTTCCTTAAAGATAACCCCACATCATGACTACATCATCTGTACTCATTTCCTTATAGATAACCCCACAGCATAACCCCACAGCATCACTTCATCACCTGTAGTCATTTCCTTATAGATATCCCATCATCATCACTACATCATCTGTAGTCATTTCCTTAAAGATAACCCAACAGCATCCCTACATCATCTGTAGTCATTTCCTTATAGATAATCCCACAGCATCACTTCATCACCTGTAGTCAGTTCCTTAAAGATAACCCAACAGCATCACTACATCATCGGTAGTCATTTCCTTATAGATAACCCCCCAGCATCACTTCATCAACCTGTAGTCATTTCCTTATAGATAACCCCACAACATCACTACATCATTATAGATAACCCCACAGCATCTCTTCATCACCTGTAGTCATTTCCTTAAAGATAACCCAACAGCATCCCTACATCATCTGTAGTCATTTCCTTAAAGATAACCCAACAGCATCACTACATCGTCTGTAGTCATTTCCTTATAGATAACCCCACAACATCACATCATCTGTAGTCATTTCCTTATAGATAATCCCACAGCATCACTTCATCACCTGTAGTCATTTCCTTATAGATAACCCCACAACATCACATCATCTGTAGTCATTTCCTTATAGATAATCCCACAGCATCACTTCATCATCTGTAGTCATTAGTCATTTCCTTAAAGATAACCCAACAGCATCCCTACATCATCTGTAGTCATTTCCTTAAAGATAACCCAACAGCATCACTCCATCATCTGTAGTCATTTCCTTATAGATAATCCCACAGCATCACTACATCATCGGTAGTCATTTCCTTATAGATAACCCAACAGCATCACTACATCACCTGTAGTCATTTCCTTAAAGATAACCCAACAGCATCACTCCATCATCTGTAGTCATTTCCTTATAGATAACCCCACATCATCACTACATCATCTGGAGTCATTTCCTTATAGATAACCCCACAGCAACACTCCATCATCTGTAGTCATTTCCTTATAGATAATCCCACAGCATCACTACATCATCGGTAGTCATTTCCTTATAGATAACCCCACAACATCACATCATCTGTAGTCATTTCCTTATAGATAACCCCACATCAACACTTCATCATCTGTAGTCATTTCCTTATAGATAACACCACAGCATCACTACATCATTATAGATAACCCCACAGCATCACTTCATCATTATAGATAACCCCACAGCATCACTACATCACCTGTAGTCATTTCCTTATAGATAACCCCACAGCATCACTACATCATCTGTAGTCATTTCCTTATAGATAACCCCACAGCATCACTTCATCATCTGTAGTCATTTCCTTATAGATAACCCCACAACATCACTACATCATTATAGATAACCCCACAGCATCACTTCATCATCTGTAGTCATTTCCTTATAGATAATCTCACAGCATCACTACATCATCTGTAGTCATTTCCTTATAGATAATCCCACAGCATCACTACATCACCTGTAGTCATTTCCTTATAGATAACCCCACATCAACACTTCATCATCTGTAGTCATTTCCTTATATATAATCCCACATCAACACTTCATCATCTGTAGTCATTTCCTTATAGATAACCCCACAACATCACTTCATCATCTGTAGTCATTTCCTTATAGATAACCCCACAGCAACCCTTCATCATCTGTAGTCATTTCCTTATAGCTAACCCCACAACATCCCTTCATCATCTGTAGTCATTTCCTTATATATAATCCCCCATCAACACTTCATCATCTGTAGTCATTTCCTTATAGCTAACCCCACAACATCCCTTCATCATCTGTAGTCATTTCCTTATAGATAACCCCACAGCATCACTACATCATCTGTAGTCATTTCCTTATAGATAAACCCACATCATCACTACATCATCTGGCCTGATTAATTTTATATCACATCTCCACCTGGCCAGAACTTCAGACTTTAGTTTTAGGAAAACAAATTTGTAGTTTTATCGATTAACCTATTAAAGGGATCTTCTTCAATACATTGTATTCAATAAATGCATTTCTACCTAGCATTCTTAATAGAAACAATTAAGTTTTTTTTATAAATAACGTTTGATTTGGTTTGCTTGTGTTTTACATCCTAGTAGCAGCTATGTTCATTGAAGGACGTGCCAGGTTTTGGTGGTGGAGCAAAGCAGAAGTGCCCGAAAAAATCACATCAGTACCAGTACATAACTCATGGTGACTATATCCATGTAGGCTTCAAACCCGTGACCCCGTGACCCCGTGACCCAGTGATGGTGGGCTAGTGATCGTAGACAGTCAAGACGTCTTAACCGCTTGGCCACCGCAGTACCTCATAGATAATTAATTTTTAAAACTTTGTTTTGTTCAGATTCGAATTAAACTCAAACTAGAGTTAAATTCAATTAGTATGGGAAAAATTTAATTTAGATGGAAAATCTGGTGAAGCATAGATCATTCTGAAATGAAACAAGAGGCCCAATGGGCCTGCATAGCTCACCTGGTATTAATCTCACACTTGTAATCTTAAAAGTGGACTGAAATACAGCTACAGGCAGAATATCAGTGTTTGATTCATAAGAACCTATTAAAAGATTTAAACATATGACGCCTGTGACCTTGACATTAGGACATTAGATTGAAAGTGGGTCAGGATCATTCCTTTGAACAAACTTGGTAGTCCTTCATCCCAGCATGCTACAGGCCCAATTTCAGTACCCTGGGCCTTTTGGTTATTGAAAAGTGGTTTGAAGATTTTATGACATTTGACTCCTGTGAC